CCCCATGGGGGGACCCTGATGAGCCCCACAGAGGGACCCACAGCCCAAATCAAAACCATGGGAAGACCCTGATTTGCTCCCTCTGGGGGGGGGACCCATGACCCTGATCAGCCCCACAGCAGGACCCCCAGCAGTTCTTCCCATCCCCCTCATCCCTTCTTCTCCCTCTTCCCAGAATTCCAACCTCGTTCTCCAAGCCGATCGTTCCCTGATCGACCGGACCCGGCGGGATGAGCCCACGGGGGAGGTTCTGTCCCTGGTGGGCAAACTGGAGGGGACCCGAATGGGGGACAAAGCCCAGAGGACCAAGCCCCAGATGCAGGAGGAGAGAAGAGCCAAGTGAGTGGGACCTGAGACCTAAGGGGCTTCAAGGAAGGGAGAACATTTGTGTGGAAAATCCTCTGGGAAGTTTATTTTTCGTTCCAGCTTTGGAATGATGGAGCCAGGAGATGGTTTTAGGGCTCAGGATAGGATGTTTTGGGGAGCACTGAGTAGTGGGAAAGGTTTTTTGGGGGTTTGAGCGCAGGGATGTGGGTTAAAATCAGCCAAGATTGGCTTGAAACTGGGAGAGGGAGCTGGAGGTTGGAGATGAGGAGGGAATTCTTTGTTGTGAGGGTGGTGAGAGCCTGGCCCAGGTTGCCCAGGGAAGCTGTGGCTGCCCCATCCCTGGGGGTGTTGAAGGGCAGGTTGGATGGGGCTTGGAGCAGCCTGGGCTGCTGGGAGGTGTCCCTGCCTTTGGGGGGTTTGGATCTAAATGATCTTTAAGATCTTCTCCAACCCATTCCACGATGATGGAAGATGCTGAGATGTTGCCAAGTCTTGTGTTAAGAAAGTGAAAACAATGGGAGAGAAAAAGACCAGTTTGGAAGGTTTTGATGGTTGGGCTGGGAGGGCTGAGCTGCCCCTTCCCTGTGTGCAGGAGGAGGAAACGTGACGAGGACAGACATGACATCAACAAGATGAAGGGCTACACGCTGCTCTCCGAGGGCATTGATGAGATGGTGGGGATCATCTACAAGCCCAAGACCAAGGAGACCCGTGAGACCTATGAGGTGCTGCTGAGCTTCATCCAGGCAGCTCTGGGGGACCAGGTGAGCATGGGGACCTGGGGATGGGGACATCCCTGCTCCAGCAGAGGATTCAGAGCCTGTGAGATCCTCCCTTTGAGTGGTTTCATGATGGAGTTGCTGAGGTTGGAAGAAACCTCCAAGATCAACCCCAGCGTGGTCACCAACCCGTGTCTCTCAGCACCATCTCCAGGGCTTGGAAACCCCTCCAGGGATGGGGACCCCCCCTGCCCTGGGCAGCCTGGGTCAGGGCCTGACAACCCTTTCCATGGAGAAATTGTTCCCAAGATCCAACCTAAACCCCCCTGGGCAACTTGAGGCCGTTCCCTCTTGTCCCATCACTTGTTCCTGGGGAGCAGAGCCTGACCCCCCTGGCTCCAACCTCCTCTCAGGCAGTTGCAGAGCAGAAGGTCTCCCCTCAGCCTCCTCCTTTCCATGATTAACACCCCCAGGTCTCTCAGAAGTTCTCCAGCCCCTTCTCCTTCTGCTCCAGCCCCTTCCCCAGCTCCATTGCCCTTCCCTGGACACTTTCCAGCCCCTCAGTGTCCCATTTCTGACCTAAAATTGGCCATTTCCTGGTCCCATCACCCCCTGGGGTGGGTTTGCTCTGTCAGTGCTGCCCTGAGGACGTGGTGGTGGTGTGGGGGGGTCCAAAAATAGGAGGGACCAACCCTGTCCTCTTCATGTAGCAAATTGATTCTCTGTTAATTAATGAATTAAGAAGGGATCTCCTCAGTGCTGATCAATATCTCCAGGGAGTGTGAGGAGGGGGGACCAGGCTGTGCTCAGGGGTGTCCAGGGCCAGGAGAAGGGGCCATGGGCAGGAGCTGGAAGGTGGGAAGTTCCATCTGAAGCTGAGGAGGAACTTGTTGGCTGTGAGGGTGGCAGAGCCCTGGGCCAGGCTGCCCAGAGAGGCTGTGGAGGCTCCTTCTCTGGAGACATCCCAACCCCAGCTGGAGGTGTTCCTGTGGGACCTGCTGGAGGTGACCCTGCTCTGGCAGGGGT